CCCTACAAGACAAAATACAAGAACACATGAGAATGGGAAGGCTGATAGAGCCAGCTTTAGGGTTGACCTTGGTTTGGGGGGTTTGGGGTTTTTTTTTAATCACAGGAAGATAACTGAGACAAAAAATAAACAAATCTAAAAGCTATACTATAAAACAAGGACTACCTAAAATGAATGCTTTACAAACTTCAAATTTACAAGGATCTCAATAATCTATGCATGTTTATGTTTTAGTTGCAGGCATGATATAAAAGGGATTTAAGTCTCCTAAAGGGGTTTTTCATTCCCTAGAATGTTTATTCTGCATGTATTCTGCCAATGGGCATGTGTACATACAGTAGCAGACATGTTAGACTGGCAGAGTGAAAATCATATCTTAAATACATTTCTATTTTGTTGTGAACAATCTAGACAAAAGAAGAATTTTAAACAGACAAGACCATCTCATTCTGAATACTAACTACTTAATTATTAAAATGTCTTTTGAACATATACAGTTTGGGAATTTCTAATACACAGTGCAGCAGAAAAATCTTTGGATTTGTTAGGGAGGGTAACACCCCAAACATTTGAATACTGTCTTCCAGATGACTGCTCACTTCTCTGAATATACAAAATTTGCATTCAGAACTTACAAAGAAGATACTTGTGACAACTGACTTAAATACATAGAGACTATCTTTGTGTTTATTTTAATAACTCTATGGTTGTTTTAAAGCAAAATCATGCACAAAATTTCGGGATCATATTCTCTGCTTTTTCATATACTTTTAAATACTTCAAACTTTTTTAAAGTTTTCCTTTCTGCAAGAATTTTCTTTGCCAAAGAGCTGTGTTTCTGAAAAAATATGAGGAGAATCTATTTATTATTTTGTGCAGATTAATAAAAAGGCAAAATTTGCTGAATGAATAAGACTTCTTGACAACATACAACTCAAAAGTCCTTATATATATAGAATTCAACTTCTTTGTCTGATTAGTTGAGAGGTACCTTAAATCTAATCTTTTATTATTCTATAGGTTGTAGTCTCTAGGGAAGTAGAAAAAACATTTAAAATATTGGCAAGCAACAGAAAATCAAGTATAAAGTATAGAATGTGTCCACCTTAACTGAAGTAATGACTCTGATTACAAGACAGTGGGAAAATCAGCTCCTAAAGTATTATAAAGGCTAGTCAAATAAAATGTGCAGGGTGCTCTTATGTATATTTATTGTTATGATTGCCATGTCACCTTTTCTGAGTCTGCATTGTTAACTGCACTCTGTTGTGGTAGGAACTAATCTGCGTGTGCAACACTGTAGCTCTCTACTTCAACTGCTATAAACCTGAATTTCAGATGTTTTAAATCCTCTGTGGAAATACACAATGAAGTACAGAACAATTTAAAAACAGGCATCTTAATTTCCTATTTAAGAATAAATATAAAGAAAGAATTAAACTACAAGAAAGCATAAATATAGTACACAGCCTGCAATTTAAAATACTCAGAAGCTGGTAGTTGGTTGATAAATAGCTCAGATAGCTGATAAATGGCTCCTAGTTCACTTTCAAGTTCTTGTATTACACCCATGAAATTAATCTTTCAAATCTTACTTTCCTCAAATATAGATTGCATTTTGCCCAAGATTATAAAAATATAACTTTCACTGATTTCTGAATTTCTGGAAACAACTCAGTGACATACATATGCAAGTGAGAAAGGATAAAACTTTATCTTTTTATGTTCTGGCATTTGAGGATACAAAATTTTATCTGTAGGGTTACAAGAGCGCTGTTTTCATGAGTATGTACCACAGCAGCATTGTGGGCTTTATTTACATCAATGGAAAGCCTTCCAACAAAGGACAGAATTCATTTTTTTAAAAAGGTGAGTGATGAAATGTCAGTAAGAAAGATGATTGATCCCTATTTTTAAGTTGCCTAATGCAGTCCACAATTACAAGGAATATTTTCTTTGGAAAAATCTACCATCTCTACTACTTTTACAGGTCTTTACTGTTCATAGGGAGAAATCCCTCAGTTTGTGGAAGTACCTTGCTGTTGTGCCTGAGTTCAAAAACATGACATCCTCTCACCTGTACTTCCCAGGAAAAACCCTGGCAGCCTGGCCAGACCCCTCAGCGTTTTGATGTACCAAGCCTACCTCACAGCATCGGCTGAAGAGCTGATTGATTAGTTACATCAAGGGGAACCAGGCTACGCTAGAGTCAACGTTCCCTATCGCCTTCCAGACCCAGTACGCACCACTGGCATCCCACGTACCTGACGGCACGAGAGAACGGGCACTCCTCTAACTGCTCAGAGAGAGGGGGGGAGAAAAAAAAGAATTACACAGCTGAGCTGGCATTCCCAGGACCCAGCATCTTATTTCAATTCTGAAGCTGTAGCTCCCTCAAACTCCAGGTAAAGAGAGAAACTCAGACCAGTCAGAAACCCACCCATCACCATCAACCCCAGACCGTGGCTCCAGCAGCCAACGCTCTTCTTTTTGAGCATGGGATGCCTCACCTCTCAACACTGGGGACAAGGGGGGCACTGAAATCAGCCTCCTCTTCTCTCTTGTAGGTCTATCACATGATACCAACACTTCAACAACCTCCTAGGCAATAAACCTTCTCCTGCAGCTGGCTTATCAGCCCTGTAGCTGAAGCCAATGAAGACAAAGCAAAATGCCTTCAGTTCAAATTTGGTTTATGGCAACATGGAACATAAAATAACCTGTCCTCTAAATAAAATTTAAATGGCAACATGCAAAAGATGGTATTACGGCAAAACAGAACACCATTTATACTGCTAACAAGAAAATTAAGATTAGTAAGCACTGTTTAATGGCTGTTCATAGAACTAATTTAGTCATTGTGATACACATTATAACCTTTAACGACACAATCATGTTTTTCTACTGAAATTCTAGCTCATTTGCTTCACAAGTTAAACATGAAAGGAGCTGAAATAAATTCTCAGAGCGAGTGTAAAGTTTCCATCCCTGAACTTCTGAGCAGTTGATTTTGTAACCTAAATAATATTATTGCAATGCATTTTTACATGATTGCAATCTATTTTACACGAATGTATTCCATGTTTTGTCAGGTAAAAAAAAAAATCTGTCTAAAATATAGTCAGACAAGCATGAAAGGTCCCATACCAAGGTCAAGGGGGCTGGATATGAATATCCGAGAAGAGAATTCAACTCTTTAATAATATCTTATCTCTCCTGTAGTTTACTTCAATATTTATTTTCTGTACAGTTAGCAATGTGATTATGTTACCACTACGCAGCCCTTCGCATCCATAATACTGCCACTCAGTGATCCTGTTAAGCTTCCACATAGGGAACCTGGATAAGAAGCAGCCCATTCACTCTCCTCTTCACATTTGAAAATCGGAAACTGTGTGGCAAACACCCTTTGTATCTAATGGTGCTGACCACATGGTTCCCACCCATCCATCCACAAACGTTAACAGATAAACATTTCTTCACTGTGGGGACAGAAGCACCAGTGATGGGGAAGGAAGTTTAGGAAAGTTTAGGAAAGTACCAATGAAAAGAGACAGCCTTACAGCAAATAAAAATCCACTGTATACTGACATCATCCATCTAAACAGACACCCTTACATCACCAATCTATAATTCAGTTGGAAGACTCTTTCTTCCTCCTTCAGTGACTTACTAATGATTCATTAATAAACTTTGAGAGTAAGAGCAAACAGGTGTGGAAGACATTGCATTCAAGAAGATTTTTCAGTACCAGCTTACCCAACTGAAACTTGCATCTTTACTCTCTGTGTACCAGATGATGAAAACCATGACACTACCCTGAGGCTTCAAGCTGCCACTCACCGGCTATCTCTATACTGCAAGACCACAGTCAGCTTCCCTATCTATAAACAAGTCACGCCAGAAACCCATGGCTGTATCCCAGCCTGAGGTAAGACTTGAGCACGTACAATCCCTCAGCTCCCTGGTATCTATCAGACATGAAGAAGGGCACACAGGTTAGAAGGGAGTCGTGTCATGCTACAGCTATTCCTGATCTGAATATCTGGAATCAGGTCTGCACCAGCCCCTGAAGTCGAACACTGCCAATTTTGTACATAATCCCCTTACATTGGGAGGCACAAATTATGTCTTTATTTAAAAACTGAAAAGGCAGAAAAAGCATGTGTTCAAACTGTGTTTATAAACAAGTCTGAGATACAGAGTACTGCCTTAGGGAAGCTTTCATTGAGAACTGATCACAGTTTAGAAAATAGCAGAAGAGAAGATACATAGACATCTGTCCCATTGCTTTTGAACAGATACAATTAATTAAATCAGCATGTGGAGCCTTTTGGGTTGAACAAGTAATATTTTTGTCAGAGGGTTACAGCAGTAACATAGGTACTCCCTGAATTCTGGATGCTTATGCACATTGTAGATTCCTCTATACACGATAACTAGTGGGAACCTACCGCTACTAACAACTCTGGTTCAGCAAAGTGACTGACAAGTCTCATGCTGCCTTGGTACTGTTAGTATCTTCACTGCACAAGGCTATGATATCACAGCTAACCCACAGCTAAATTCCACAGCGCATTCTTTCACCTTGCTTCAAAATCAAAACTGTTTGTAGGTTTTGCAAGCGACATAATGCCCATGGCAAATTAAGAACAAAAGAAAAAAAAAAGTCTCTGACAACGTGAACATTTCCTTCCAGTTGTTAACTGTTTGGAAAAAGAAACTAAAACCAAAAAAAGTTTTGAAAAAAAATGGAGAAAGATACCCCTGTTTTTCCCCTCAAGGATAAACCAATTCCCAGCATACTTAGCATTTTGACAGACACAGAACAGTTGCATTCCACTTCAGAGTGTTGCACAAACACAACAAGGACCATAGCCAGGCTCTTCCACCCTACGACTCTACACACACAAGGAATCAGTGGGGAGAAGGCTATCGGATAATGGCTATGCCGGATTCTCCCAAGCCATGCTCAGAAATCAGTTTCCTTATTTCCTTACCCTCTGTTTCCGTAGGCTTCCTGGGCTGGTGGGAGATGGGCTTGGAGACTTCCCAGAGCGGGGAGTAGAAAGCTGGCTACCAGGGGTTCCATTCACTAAAAGGATAATAAATTGAAAAAATAAATACAAGGCATTATTAAAAGCAAAGAAAAAGTTAAATCTTTTCATTCTTTGTTGAAGAGATCAATTTGCTTTTGCTTAACGTTTTAAAGATTAAATAAGGTAATTCACAAAAGAACTGTTTCCTCAGAGTTTTGGCTCATGAAGCCAATTTTTATATAGAGTGCAAGCAAATAATCAGCAAACCTGCAAAGACTGTTTAGTCAATGGCAGAGAACAGGATGATGCTTTCTTAAACTGTATTGTTCCTGTGCTTGAAAGTGAAGGGGAGCAAGGTGCTTTGTTAACCTTAACAGACACTTGCTATATGTAAACCTTTTCATTCCATTTAGTTATGGTTTGAAGTGCTACCCACCACAAATAAAAAGCACTATTGCTTACAAGAACAAATCAGCTGCTTGCTGTTCCTCACTCATTCGTTTGAAGAGATTTTTGCAATACTATCATCTGACCCAAACATCACCTCAGACTTAACCCAGAAGGACTTTCTGGAGGCAAATAAATGGAATGTAACACCTCAAGTCTGACTTACAGCACACCATCACTTTCTCAAATAAGTAAGTTCCTTCAGATATGTTCAGTGCCTATCGTTTTAGAAGCATCTTTTGCATGCATGTGACATTATCCATTAAATTAACAAAACAATACCAGCAGAGGACATAATTCTGCTACAAAGCAATCACACAAGAGGCTATCAATAATGTTCACACTGAAGCACTCATAGAAACACTACAAAGCGTGTATCACATATATATATGTAAATATTCTTAAACAAGAAACTGTTATTATACCATAGTCCATATTTGTCAGCACCAGGAAAAACAGAATCGAAAATCAGATTCCCAGATTCTGAATCTTAGCAGAATATTTACATACCAGGATATCAACAAGGCATTTGACTTACCTTCTATGAGTTCTAACATGGACAAAATCTCACTGTTTAACCTGATAACAGCAAGCAGCAAAATTCCTGCTCTGTACTAAGCCAAGCTGTAGCCAAACTGAGAAGCAATGGGATTAGTTAAGGATAGCTGGGGCTGCTCACAGAGTGAGCTGAATGCGATGCAGGATTCATAAGCAGAAGCCTTTTCTGCGTAAGGCTGACGTCTTCAGAGCAGCAGTGGGAGGTGCAGGTGCTGTCTTAGGGCTACATCAAAGGTGTCAATTAAGCATTATGCTGCTGCTTCACAACGCTGAGCCACCGCAACCCCCACTCGCTTTCCATGGAGCCCCGAAAGCCTAAGCAATTTCATATGCTGTGCACTGAATCATAATGAGGTGCCTTTGGGGGCAATATACCAAATGACTCATCCGAAAATCAAAATGACAATAACTCTTGTAAAACCTTGGCTGACTGGCAATCTAGCAAATGCTAATTACTTTGGATTATACAGTAGGCATTTTTAATAGATTTTTCTTACTTTTTACATAATGCATTGTTCTCACTGGCTAATACTGGGCCCACATATTATAAGAAAGGAACATGTATACCTACCATACAACACACATCAATAAAACAAGTTCTACTGCATGATAAATAATGATCACTTAATAGTGCTTAGGTCAGATCAGATCTCAACATCACTTTGTGCAAGGCATTGTTTAAGGTAAAGGTGCAACGTGTTTGTATAACCATAGGAGCAAGATACACTAATTGGATTTAAATAGGCTGCTTTTATAGAAAACTATTCCACTCATCCAGGCTTCGAATTCTCTTTGTACAGAGGACAATGTTTGTACATATCAACACTGATTCAAAACATTGCACTAAGTGTGTGTGGGAGAGCACATGTATATGGACTCATTCACTGAAGTTCATACAGCATTTAGAAAATACACCACATAGGTCTGGGCAATACTATTGTTTGTGACTAAAATAAAACTTATTATCAATACTTCTGAAAACATTTAGGAAAAGGGCAACAGGAGGACATTAAAAATGAGCTTTTCGGAATCTCAAACTTCTAAAGGGTTTCTTATAAACAAACATGATATTATCTAGAAACTAATACTAAACTACTACTATTCACATGAAGCTAGTCCTCAAGACTGCTCAGTAACAAGCCTAGTGCTCTGCCTTCTCTTTAAACTAAGCAGATCTTCTTAGGTCTTGTTATTATGAGAAAATCTAAGATAACAGATACACTTTAATAAACCTTATAGCACTAGACACCGGTTCCTGTTCCTTATAGACTAAGTCCTTTCTCATAACTTTCAACAGTAGTTTTTCTTAGAATTACTATTGCAATTATTCTGTCCTGAAGGCAGAGACTTGAGGCTACCAAGTGGAATCAGACAAATAGATGCGATGGTGTGTTTGACTCTTGATATATTTCCCACATGTACCATGTGGGATGAGTATCTATTTGAGACAAAACCCCAAAGTATTATAAACCCTAAAAATTACTCCCTTGCCACCACCAGAGTATCCAGAGCATTTAAGCTAAGCTCCAAAGCTCTCCCCAACAGCAATTTTTAAAAAGGAAAGCACAATATTTGTGCTTGTGTTGGCCATCTGTAATATGTGAAATCAAGAGCACAATTAATAGATCAAAGCCTTCAGGAGATTTAAGTGGAGTTTGCTCATCTTCTTACCCATATCCGAAATACAAAGGTGCTAAGAACCTAAAACACATACCAGGATTTTTGTGAGGATACAAGGACTTCCTATGGAGACTTGTTTAGGAAACTCTAGAGATGACAATTAGCACTGGGGAGGAGATTCCTTTTACCAATCTTTACGTACCTACAATGTAGGCTCCTACATCTGAAGCAGTTTTCTAGACCTCATTTTAAACAAGTTGCTGTTGTAGCATGAGTTGTATCATCCCCAAGCAACCATCTAAAACAAACCTGATGAACAATGTACTAGGAGCATCCACTGCAGTGTAGACTTCTAAAGTTAGGCAAGACAAATCCAAACCCACGCACCTAGAGGTTTAGGATATGCTGGAGATGAAGTAAAATCATCAAAATTCTCCCCACCTACCAATTCTGGTGGATTTTGTTCCAAGCACAGAACTCTATTAAATAAACTCCGATGTCTGAAGGTCATACAGAGTCTACATTAGAGTCAACCTAAACAGGAACTTGAGTGACATGGGTTCTACTCCCAGCTCTCTATATGCTTCTGCAAAACATCAGACAAGTCATGTCATCTCTACCATTTCTCTACTTAGGCTTTAAGTTCTGCCAGAATGAACTCTCTATGCAAATTATGTTGTCTGTCTTCTGGGTGCTCTGCATACTTGGAGATACACAATTACTACTGATATTATTAATGCAGTGCTTAAGACAGACATCACAACAGGAAACAAATGGTAATTCCTAATAATTCCCCAGTCCACTCCAGGGGCTCTCTTTTTTTATCTTCTTGTTTATGGCTTGCTGGCCATTCCACTTCCAACTCTAATTCCTTAAAAGTCATTATACTGAATTTGGAAATCAAGTTGATATTAGGTGCTGTGTAGCAGGAAGAGATTGGACTGATTCTGACCCCTTTCTTGAACTCCATTTACAATCACAACACCATTCTTACATATGCAGTTTATGATCAGATAACATGCCAACAAATATAGGAAGACAATCTATAATATTTAATAATAATAATGCATTCCTGATGAGTACAGGAATATAGTTTAAACTGCCTTAAAATCGATTTCTGGGTGGAATGCATACTGGTTGGAAACTGCATTCCTGTCCAGTGTCTGCACTGCATTTCTCACTAACTGATAGAGCACATGTTCCTGCAGGGAACCCTGATGTAGATAAAGACATATGAAATTGGTAAATCACTGTTGTGATTAATCATGTTATTGAGTGAGACAAGAGGTTTCTTGTCACTTTTTATTCATAAAATGGCAGGGGTCAGAGACTTCAGCTTAACACACAGCACCCTCCCATCATCTCATGAAAAAGATTTATCCGTTCAAAATTTCACAGGTGAAATATGTATTAAAAAGCTAAAACAATAACAAAATTATTGTGGCTGCTCTGAGCAGACATATACAACTGCTTAGCTGTGAACTCCTTTCCTTACTCTCCTGTCTTGCTGAGGATGCATAGCAGATCAAGAACCTGTCTTTGTATTTGTTTTTCCAGCACCTGGCACACACATGAATGTAGAAAACCCCACAAAATAGAACACTAAAGCTGGATACCATCATCTACTGAGATAAATAGAAAATAGGTTTTCATATGAAGATGTTTATAAACCAGTGAAAATGCTGTAAATAAAAAGTACTTTGATAGCATTCCAATAAACATGTTTTGATAGGGCATCTTTTTATTAAATAATAAAAAGTGAGAAAAGCTGAATTAAAGTATCAAGTGCTGGTCTGAGAAACAGCCAATGCCACTGCACTGTATTAAAATCATACTCTTCTATAAAACTGCCTGTTGATGTGTTAGCATCTTGTACTCTGTAAAAAATGTTGAGATGACTCTGTGTTTACAAAAGTGGTTTGCCAAACGTAAAAGTGTGTGTGAAGAGGAAAGAGAAGACTAAGGGAAAGGAATGATGCAGGCTTTTTCACAGCCACAACTTATTCACAACTAGGACAGCCAAAACAAAAAAAATTATTTACAGAAGACACAACAGCATGTGTAGGTCGTATTCAGCAACTGTTAGCTAGAAAATGGAGATGTGAGATCGCTACTCAACCTTGTCTCAATTATTCCTGTAGTTTGTCGCTCCTTTCCAAAACAACACTTTCGTCTCAAGAAGATTATGTAGTTACAAATTAGGGAACAAACCATACTGTGCCTTCTTGTTCCTTCTGCTTTTGTATTCTACTTGTATACATCTTGTCATTTTTGTCTTCATTCCAAAAGACAGTTTGTCCAGAGCACCACATTAAGCAAGTGCCCTCATTATTGCTCCCCGGCAAAGACAAGGCTTTGTAGGTTCTACCTTAGCATGCAACTGGCTGAGAAAATTCCCAAATAACCAGTACTGCATTCATTTTAACTGGTG